ATTGGAGAGTCGGTAAATTGTTTCCAGTGTGAATGCTAGTTTGTCTCAGTTGGAGATAAACTGAATTGCTGGGGTTGAGGATGGTGGAATAAATATGGAATAAAATATAACAATAGCAGCCACATTGACAATGTGCTTTGGTGGCACAGTAAACACATAAAAAGCAAAATGCAAGGTACCAATTTAAAACAAAACAACACAACTTTCATATTGTCACTGTATTTGTCAAAATGTTTAAGCAAAATTTCATCCTGTAATATGACTCCCTTTATTGTATACCGATATGCAACAATTATTCCTACTGTAACACAACACACAAATTTTTCAAGTTTCAAGTTTCTCTACTACTTGATGTGGATGCAGACATCCCACGACAAATCACAATAAAAACCCATTAAGTGTTGTGATTTTTCCACTTTTTGTACAGAATAAAGTACATCATTGTGTCTTTTTATTAATTACAGAGTAACAGAAAAGTAAAAAGCTAATATTTCCTACACAATTAGCAGCTGTTTCTGCTCAGATAGCCAGTCTGCAGCCGTCGCTTACTTACTCTGGCTTTAAAACTTAATAAAAATGACATTGCTTTAATTTCAGATTATCAATGAGTATTTTGGCAACACACTTGTTTACCAATAAGACAATGCAGTACTCCAGACCATACTGGGTAGGTGGAGGGGGATTTACCAGTCACTTTAAGGCTGGCTGGGACATATAATCTGTGCAGAGTCCTGTGTTTTGTCTCCTGGGTTCTCCACCCAGAAGGCCTCGCCAAGTAAACCTCTCAAGAGACGCTTCGTAATCAAGTGTCTGAACCGTCTCAGCAGGCCCTGAATGTGGAACATCTCAGAGTTAAATCCAAGCACCCTGCAGAGATGCTAATTTGAAACATTTGCATTTGTGATCTTTGTGCATTTGGGAGAAGGAAGAGAATCACCAAGAAAGATGAATGGAGGCAAGGTTAGTGCTCTCTCCTAACCCAGAAAAACTTGCGCGCATTCCTTAATTCTTTAAATAAATCTAGTTAAGTTTGAAATCCAGCACCCAAGTTTTCACAGCTAGCAGATCCTTTAACTCTTTGCAACATAGTGAACCATCATATTTTCTTTGTTTGTTTAGCTAGACAAAATCCTCTGCTTTAGTCTTTTTATGTCGTTAAAAAAAAGCATAACTTTTGCTGGATTTAATAAAGATCAAACAATTTTTGCTAACATAAAAGTTAATCAGAAACATTTATTGAAACAAGTCCCACAAAAGAGGTCTTCCATTTTGCCTCTCACTCTTTGTGCTTCTTTTATGCATCCCAGGTGTTTACAATAATAAATATGTCATTTAACCAGGATCACTGTAAAGCTGCAGCTTATTATCCACGGTACAGTTAGAGCTGTCTAACCTGTCACGCTGGTCATTACTGACATCATTTTGTAGGATGGATGAAGAAACAGGCCAGCAGAGAAGACTGAGAAACACCCAACAGACCCCATTTGAAGCAGAGGTCATTCCCAGTAACAGAGGGGCCCGTTCCCACAATGATAACAAGCCAGCCTGATCATGCTAACTCCTTCTCCTGTCTGCTTACCTCACCACCACCACCCTGCCTTCATTTCTCCCAATCATGGATGATGGAGCAACAATCTGTGCAGACTCAGCCTGGTGACTCTGATTATCAGACCAGCAAGAAATTATCCAAGAATCAAGCGGTTATGTTGTTGTTGCTTTTCCTTTTGCCTTTGATTGGGGGTCTCGTTGGTTATGTCAACCAGCCTCAGCCACATCTGGCTTGCTTCAGCTTCACGTCACCTGAAAAAGCCACTTAACTTGGCGGGGCAGTGAAAACACGTCCCAACCTCGCTCCGTCCTGGGAAAGGAAATAGGGCTGTTTGAAAATTCACTGTAGCCTATAACTCATGATATTTCTCTTTTGCGGCTGACATTTTTATATCAGGACAATGTCAAGGCCTTTAAATTCCCTACCTGATATCAATCTAGGAGTCGAACTTCCACAGTCCCTGACCGGCTGTGAAACGGAGAGGGTATTAATCCTGGTAGCAGAATAAGCAGCTGCAGTCAGCAGCCAGTTGTGTGATGATTCACTGCTGACCAGTTCCCAATGAGAAGGTCATAAACCAGGCTCTGACAGCCGGCCAGACCTGGTTTCCATACAAACTGCTGCAAAGAATTTGCTATGATGGAGTTATAGGTTGGAATGTACTGAGGAATCACTTAGTGAGCTGAATATGACGATTTTCTGCTTAATCCAGATAATTGATAAACTGGCAGGAACCTCAAAAGCCAAACTCCGTCCGATTCCATTCAAGCACAATCAGGGTGACTAAAAGCTATTTCAGTTTCTAGTAAATTATTGACATGGATGTAAAAAAAGAAGCACAGAGATGTAAGAAGCCATTTAAAATAATTCATCTTTTCCATGACATGTCAACATGTATCTGCAGTTCATATAAGCTGAGAGAGAAACAAAGACTTTGACAGATAACATGAAGGGTACAGCAAGGATGCTGCACCCTATCCTTTTAATTTGTAAATTGGACATTCACAAAATTTTAAAAATTGTTCCTTGGGTTAGAGTCAGTTTGAAATCGTTTAGCTTCCGTTTCAAAATGTTGCATTGTTACTGCTCTCACATACAGTTTGACGGAAGTTTAAGAAAACTGACTTTGAGTGCTGCTCTTATTTGCTATGATATTACAGGTCTTAAACAAAGCCGGTCAGTGTCTCAAACTGCATCAAACTATGGATGAAATGTTTGCACAATTTGTTTTTGTGAATTTAGAATACATCAAAATGTATTTTGATGGCTGGCTTGCACCCAATACGTCTGTGTCCAGGATAGCAAGCTCAGTTTCACCTTTGGCCTGTACGCTGTTTGTTTGTGAGCTGAATCAAAGTTTAGGGTCACAAACTGCCTCACACCAGGATGGCGTGTCAGCCTCCGCTACACCCTCCTCCTCTCCCGCTTCACGCCCTCTCACGCTCGCCCGCTGTGTGGTCTTTGCATTCCTCCATTGACTTGTCTGTGCACCGCTCAGTCTTGGCAGAGCTGCCGGGCTGACACAAAGTCAGCAAGTAGATGGTACAAACATCAAAACCTTTTATAATGCAAGTGCTGCTGGCACTGTGAACACCCGAATCACAAAATCTGAATCTTAGCTCCACCTTTTGAGTGGAGACTCAAACTCCAGTTTTAAAGTGAAAAAAATATACCATGTGTATGTCTTTGGAATAATTAGGTCTAAGACCCACAGAAGGTCGTGATTTTCTCCAGCAGTGTGTGCTCTCCACATTACCAACCTATGAGCTCAGGCTACAGGAGGCTGAATAAAGGATTTCCATGCCTACCCCATTGTTTCATCTCAGCTATATTCTGCCTTACAACACAACCAGAAAATGGAGGCAATTACAGATGATTACACTAAGCTTTGGTAACAATAAATCAAGAATACGCTGGCCTGTGGAGCTTCTTCAGACTTCTTCTTTGTGCCCCCACCATGTTTTTAGGATTGTCTGTTATTAAATGTAATAATTTAATGCAGGTTAAATTGACCACTCCTGCTTTTATTTAAAGCGCATCGCAGGATGGATCCTTGACTAAACAAAACAGCAACAAGAAAACCAGTTGTGGGTATAACTGCTTGTCCCTCAACAACAAAACACCAACCTGGGTGGGAAACCATATCACTCATATCTGCAGGCTAATTCATATTTTGCATTTCGGTGCATAATATGGAAGCTTAAAAATGTGCAAAGCTGAAAGTTGTTTCACTTAATAACATTTTTTTTACAAAATGTAGTTACATTTTGTTACATTTACTTAGCTTTAAAAATGTACACTAGTGTGATTAATGAGGATTGATCTAAAGTCCTTTTAATCAGGAGCAATGGCAGTTTTCTCTGGCTGTACGCAACATAGGAGATTACAGTACCACCCGTCCCCCACTTGTTTCTGCAAACTAAAACGAGTCTCCCATGCTTTCGCTCACATAACAGGGTCACGAAAACCAATCATGCTTGGGAAACTGACAGAGCGATCTCCTTAACTCTTAACAAGGTGGTCTGAAACTGAAGCTGAGCTCATGGCCAGCATATCTCCCGTTTAACCCTAATTCCCAGTCTGCTCCAGTGTCCTTTCAGCCGCAGAACTGCTGTGACATAATATTTGTCACTGGTAGCCGCCCACTGGGGTCTACTGAGCTTCTCCAAGGACGTCCACATGCGTCCCAGGTTTTTGTGTCCAGTGGGACTGTCCACGTCGGCAGGAACAGTCATAACCTCAGTATGAAGATGGCACCAAACACACAACAGACAAAGACCAAAAGGACGAAGAAAAACCTCAACAAAAGTTGTTTTGAAGTCGTTATAGTGTGGGGAAGATCCACAGTGTTTCATATCTCTTCTTGTATCTTTAGTTTTTCATTTACAAATCAATTTATTTTGGTCATATTTTCTGTCACTGTTTATGCAGTGACACCTTTAAGCCGTGTTATATTTACACAAAGTTTTCAGCCTGTCTCACCGGCCCTTGAATGCATACCATCATGTAGACAGGCTTTATTATTTATTGACTACAAGCCTGAAAACTAAGCCTTTCGTCATTAAGCTTAATTGAACTTTATGGCTGCTCCAATAAAACTCCAGAGGAAATAACTGTGCTCCATCTGACACCTATGTGTTGGTCTTTGTTTATAGTCTTACACACTTTTTCCCCCATTGTTATAAACGAGTTCTGATAGGAGTTAGACACAGGACATTGAAGACACTAAAAATGCAAGGCGTATGGTAAAGAGAAATATATAAATATATATATCTATATATATCTATATATATCTATAGATATATATATATATCTATATATATATATATATATATATATATATATATATATATATATAGATATATATATATATATATATATATATATATATATATATATATAGATATATATATATATATATATAGATATATATATATATATAGTTACGTACCAACAGCTTTAATAAGGAATCCCTTTGGTGACCTCAGCGCCCTGCGCATCCATGCTTCCCTCAGCACCTCCAAGTCGTTCGCGTTCCCTTGAATGAAAAGCACCAAGTTTTCCATCCATCCCTGAAAGTGCACCTCCGCCATGGCCTTGACGAGTCTCTTATTCCAGAAGCTGCGCGAGTTTTGCGCCTTGAAGTCAGCAAAGATCTCCTGGCCACTCGGCGCGTTGGGTTTCCCTTCGACGGCGCGCAAACTCTCCTCGTCCGGCCCGAAGACCACGGCGAGCGACGCTCCGGAGAGCTGGACGAGCCGCTGCTGGTGGGACATGTCTGAATAACCTTCACCTAGCTCGGGACGGGAGCGGGCATGGTCTGCACCGAAACGCTGTCGTTAAAAGACGAGCGGGGTTTTTTTTGCCATGCGTTCCTCTCTGGGGGCTGCGAACCCTGCGGCCGGCGCAGCGGACGGGGAGCGGTGTGGTTTGTGTCGGCTTCCAGGGGAACCGAGTGACGGTGGCAAGGAGGAGGAGGCTCAGCAGCCCGTTAATGCTGCAGCAGCTGCTGCTGCTGCTGCAGCTGCTGGGACTCACACACAGGTGGACCTCCCACTGACTCCTCACAGGTGTGCGTTTGCTGTCAACTGGAGTTCCGCTTCAATTAGATTAAAAAGAGTAACAAAATGCTTTGAAAAAAAAGAAGAAGAAAAGAAACAGACTTTGTTTGAACAGATTATCAGGTATCAGAGCTGAGCTACATCTGCTAGGCAGCATGTCAGCAAGACTCACAATTATGCATTCTAATCATTTGTATGGATAAATGCAGATGAGCTCTGATTTACGTTCAAATTATTGGAAAAGGAGCCCAGGATGGTTTTTGTTTTTGTATAAGTCTAAGAAAACTGAGACTAACACAGAACGTGTGAGCGTGGTCTTCAAATCCCACAACACAAAGCTGATCTGAGTAATCTAAATTCATGGATTTATTACATTTATGTGTCTCCCTCCTCATTACTTATATTGTCATTTGTCACACATACATAATTCAACACCGGTTAATTTAAGTCTTAAATTAAAAGACGTGGCGGCCTCACAAGGAAAACTGTATTCCCAGGGGTAGATGTGACAGAAACTTGACTTAGTGCGTTTCACAACAATGACTTTGCCGGAGCAAATGCTGCTTCAGTCACAGGGAGCACATTTGGTGCCAGAATCAGAACCATACCCTCCCGTGCTCGTAGCCCCATTAGGCCCATCTTTTTTCTTCTTCTTTTTTGTTCTGATGCTGAAACAGGGATAGAGCCTGAAGGGCACACAGACACACACTTCATATATCTCAGAGGGGCCAAACCAGGGCTTTGGTTTCAGCAGCACTCTGGCCCCTGAAAGGTCTGCATGGGGCCAGCATGAGCCTCAGTGGGGCATTAGAGCTTTTGGAGGAACAGGATATTACGCTTCCTCTGTGCATCACCTCAGCCTGCACAGGATGAATTGTGTACAGTCTGTTCCAGGAAGTGAAGGAGTGCCGTTCAGGGAATGTGAAGAAAGCTTGTCTTGATTTTCTTGAGTCTCTCAATGAGAAATTTGTTCCGGAAGTTCAACCGAAGTGTTCAAAATTGACCCTTTCTGATTAAGATGCTCTTATGTATTTCCCTGCCTCATTGTCTTAAAACAACATCCTGTCTGTACACAGTCCAAATGAAGACAAACTTATGGGTTTTGTGGATTGCTTTTTTGGGGGAAACTGATCCAACAGTTCTATGTTGTTCAGAATTAAGCCCTGGCCTTTCCTTTTTCATTTCTAGAGTTTGCGTGAAACGAATCTCCATCCTTTCCAATGGTCTTTAAAAGACATGAGCAGTGATCAATGAATGTGCCTTTACAGCATTTTATTATTTAGCACGTCGGAGGAGGTTTAAGCTGGAAAGCTGATCACTCACTGATATCAGTAAAATATTCACTGAAGTACAACATTCAGAAACATCTGCTATTTAATTCTTGCGCAAAAATAAACAACTAATATGAAGGGACAGCCACATTTACTAGCACTTCTGTAAAAACTGGTAAAAAGGCCTTGAAATAAAAAGGACATTTTTTTAAAGCAGTAACAAGAACTTACTCTTAAAATTGTGGAATAAACCAGAATTTGAATTTGAGTATATTTATTCATTGGGGGGGAGGGGAAAATCCCATGTTTAGAAATGGTTTTGAACAATTTGCTAGTGAAATAATTATTGGCAACCTTAACAATTCTAATAAATCTGAAGCATTTTTAATTAAGCTGACATATATCAGGAAATATTTGCACATCGTTAACGCCCGAGTTTTTGTTTGGGTCTTTAAATTAATTTCAGCAAACTACATCTTTCTGCTGCAGTGCAGGCTGAACATTGGTCCAGCAAACCCATTATTATTTTTCCACCATTTACGTTTAGTGAATGAAGAGTGTTGGTTTTTGTCTTTCCATATCAAAACAAAGAAATTGCAATCGCCGTTCTACAGACATTCTGAAAATTTTCTTTCCCACTTACTCTGTAAATATTTCAGTTAAAGGTGCTGGCAGTAAATAATGTTTATTTTCAGACAAAGATCCTCTTTATATGATAGACAATTGTTGTCGTCTAACAGTACTTTTGCTAGAATTAAAGTGAATTCTCAATACAGAAAGCATACTGAGGGAATAGTCACACCAAACAATGTGCAAACTGTTTGCATTATGTGGAAGTCTGGAGAAATGCTGGCATTGTTCGACGCTGCGAGCTTCCTCCTGATAAAAATGCTGGCAGGCACTTTGTTTAACTTGAGGAGAGACAATAGGGTCTTAACCGCATTCAAATTGTGAAGTCTTTCTTTTCTTTTTTTTCAAATGTTTAGTCTGCCTGCAGGCCTGATTATCATAAAGCAAAGTTCAACAAGATACAATAATGATGTGAAATTCTGCACCCTAAGCCCCTGATTTTTAATTAACATACATATGTCTCTTCCTCTGGCTGTGCACTGGACCGGTTTCAAAGTGGTATCAGATGTCCCTGAAGTTCCAACGGCCTCGACGTGATCACCGTGTATATTTTCCATATGATAATTTCAGTGAGCCACAGCCCTCAGCTTTAGATTCCCGTCTGCACATTACAAACTGAAACATCTGGTGCTGCTATAGGAGGCTGACTCGCAGGACCAGAACGACCCCACAAGGCTCTCCCCCGGACCCAGAGCCAAGATTAAATACGACCCGGATCATTCCAAAGACTAAATGCAATTCTTGCATGTCCGCCTGTATGCATGAGTAATGACTTCTGCATCGATGCAGACGCTCTCTTTTACAGGTTTGCATGCATGTTGGCAGGAGTGTCGCATTCTTGCTTGGGTTACACCTACAGTTCTTAACAGAGAAAGAAAAAAATGGTCACTTCTGCATCACACGGTGGATGTCGAAGGTCATTAGCAAGTCTGCTCTGGGGGATTTCCTCAGAATCCTCTACCTCCTGATCAAACAAACAGGAAACAATGTGTTCAACAGATTTAAAGTTGTTGGAAGGTGAAACAGTGCATATGGCTCATGGCTCACACTGCTTTAAGTTACAGCACCTTGCAAAGGTAATTTTCACTTTTCCATATTAAACACTTGAATGCATCTTAATTGTATGACTCGAATAGCTTTGGAGACCTCGAGGCTGAAATTTTCACCTTTTTTCTTGCAAAATAGCAAAATCTCTCCTGTTTGGATGTGACGCATCAGTGAAGATTAATACTGTACATCACTGACTGCGCCAATCTAACACGAGAATATAGTATGGAATGGTGAACGTCACCTTGTGTTTAGCTCCATCTTTCCACTGTTACCAGCTTCCTTATCCGACTAAGGAAAAGCCTCCCCACAGCACAATGCTGCCACTTCCCTGTTTTACCATAAAGATTGTTTAATTAGTGTTTCTCCGGCCACTCCTCTTTCTTCTTCCACATGTTTACTGCCTCCTTCACAAGATTTGTGGCCATGCTTTTTAGATCTTTTTTGTTTTGAGTTGTCAAAACTCAATGTATAAATTAAAATAGTTTCCACTGAGCAGAAGTATTACTCATAGAAACTGTCAGGGAAAACACAGGCATTAAAGTTTGTGATCTTAATTTCCTAATTGAATCTCCTCTGGTTATTTTGTAATTTTTTTCTTGTTAGGACCTTTTTTCCCCTTGAAGAATGTCCTTCAGTCTTCATGCCTGAATGAACACGTTTTTGCATCAGTCAAGGTGCTCTGTTATTACAATTTCATTATTTCGGCGCGCTGCCGTCGCGGCGGTGATCAAAGCAGGTCTTCCTCAGAGTCCCCTTTTTGTCTCACAGAGACCTTTGAACAGGCTGCGCGTGCGTGCCTGAGTGCTTCACAGCACAAATCAACGCACATCTTAAGTGAAACCTACAGGAGCGTCTCTCTTTATAGGACCAGCAGGCGGCCAGACAAACTTAATGACAGTGGTTTTGTCATAAAACATGATTACCTACAGACAGGACTGTAATTGAAGTGCGTTGTTTTAATAAACCTTACACACAGAGGAGGGAAGGAAAGGCTTTTTTTTTTTTTAGAGAGGATGGGCTCAAAGAAAGTGGGGACTGATGGATACTCATAAACCATAAACACACACAAAGGCTCTGCTGACATGCTGAAGAACACAACCAGTGTGATGCGTGTGTCCATCTGCACTTTGACATCGTGTGAAAGCAAAGGGTTGGTGTAATTTCATCTTTCCAGTGCAGGATGAGTGGAGTTTTTGAACTGAAGGTACATCCAACCATGTACACACACCCACAGGCGCCTCGGACTGCGTTCACACACCGACGTCCCCCGCCTAACAGTTCCCTTCTTTGAAAAAGCAACAGTGAGCAGACATGACGGTTTACGTATAGTGAGGGCACATTAGGATTCAAGATGAGGCATTCTTGGAGACTAACGTCACCGCCTTGATTTATGTCTCAAATGAAAGGACTATAAACAGTAAGACGAGCTTCTCTTTGAATTTATGGCTTCAAGACACGCAGCGATTCAAAGTGAAGGCAGGGTAAAGTTTTGGATGTTTCATTGCCGAGAATAATTAATGGATTACTGGGTTAATCATGTCAGCAAAACGATTAAACGCACAACAGACGGACATATTACAGGAACACTAAGTTCATACATGCAGTAAGAGCCTTCTCAAATAAGAAATGACTATTATTGTTATCATTTTTATCCGTCCATCCTTGATATCCAGCCTCATTATTGACATGACAAAGGAAAGTCCATTAAATTTAATTGTTATCATTTTACTCACCATTTAGAGTAATTTCTAGTTGCTGAGTGAAAAGTAAATGAAAAGCAAATGCAACTCATTGAAATGCTCTAGTTACCAGATACGCACGCAAAATAAAAAAAAAAAAGTATTACTTTTTGACTGTACACTTTACACTGGCTCTATTTTAATATGATTTCAGTAACAGTATAAGAATGCAACAAGTGTTTGATGCTATGTAA